GAAAGTTATATATACTTATAATTATATATAAGAAAAGTTATATATAAAAAAACTTACATATGACAAGTAATTACAATGAATTTAATGAATTAAAAATATTTAGGCGTGGTACCGCGAGAGTCCGGCTGCCCCAGATTTTGGCCGCCCGCGTAGTTTTACATGCTGCATTCCCGCTAGGAACGACCCTGTGTATATCAAGAGCAGCGAAAATTTCAGAAACCGACCCGAGCGCTTAATGGCAAACCGCACATTGAGTTGATCAATGTTAACGAATTTCGCTTACTGCGCATGCTCAATGGTGCACAGCTGGCGTGGGAGAAAGTACTGGCGACTAAGCATAAGCAACCCTAAACAAGCCTGGACAAGCCTGTTCGTCATCTAGGTCTTAACGACTGTTTACAATTGCAACAGTCTATTTCATTTACTTAAATAATTTATTTGACCTTTAGTTCAGTAATTTAACCTAGATTTAATCCTTAATTTGTTAAAGTATATATGAATGGAACGTATCATAAATTCTCAATTGTTTTTATTCCTCAGAAGTATAATCAGCTAATATATATTGTAATGTTTCCTGTTTTGTAATCCTTTTTAAAAGAAAAATTTGCGTAGTTTACAATCGACATTTACATTCCAAGTAATGAAGCAGTTTACAACCTGACACGTTTTAAAACCTCGAACTGTTTACGCCCAAGATCACACAATATTAACCATATACCGTATTTATCTTCTTTTAAAATTGCGCCAAAGTCGTAACGCCAAATTCTCTTTTGGGCATGCGCAGTAAGTAAAATTCGTTTAACATTGATCAATTCAATGTGCGGTTTGCCATTACGCGACCCGAGCGGCAAAAGCTCTAGCTGCGCCACTGACTTGTCAACCAGGAAAGGATGGGCGAAAAATAATCTTAGAACTTCAACCGCCGCATGCTATAAATTAGTCACTTCTCTGTACTAAGACTGGTCTGCTCACTGGAGTCACATTTTCCATCACGACTCGAGGAATGATACCAGAATGTTGTTAGTTTTCTAGTTAGTGTGTGGGGCTAATACCTGCTTACTTAGGGTAAATATTAGGTGGCCCCCTCACTACTACATAACATAACATAACATAACATAACCCTTTTAGCTGTCAGTATTCCCTTGAATTCGAAAATAAGCTCTCGCCTTCCTAAAAGGGATGTGTATATTTTTTTATTTAAGAAAAAAACATGTATTATATAAACAAATGCCGTGTTTATTTATAATCTATATTACTATGTAACATAAAATGCAGTACTTAAATTTTAATCGCTAGGTTGTTGTTGTTTGTTCATAATAATCGCATTAAAACGAGGCTCTCATTTTAAGCGTAAGCCATCAGACGCATTTAAACAATTTCTGGGTTTTGTATTAATGAGCAAAAGTGTTGAAAATCCCATTTCACAAGGTAGGAGATGGAAAATTTTAAAATTGTCTCTAGTGCTGTTTTTGTCAGTTGTGGATAAGTTTCATACTGTTTACACTAGAACTGATCTAAATGTAGTTTTTTAAATTCCATTTCCATATACGCGTTAGCTTATATTTCGATAAGACCTTATTTTAAAAAATCGCTCTAGTCCATTGAATTTGGATCAAACAAAAATGAGTTGAGTATCCATCTATTAATTTTGCTAATATTTCTCTTGGAAAAGTAATCATCAAATGATTCACTCAACTGTTGGAGGTGTATTATAATTTCTGTATAATAACTATTTTTTCGTTTGCCAAAAGGATCGAATTCAACAAAAGCAAATTTGCTAAATTCTCATGCTCCACTCGACGTTTCCAAAGTATAAATTTTTCAGTAAATGAAGATCATTGTTTACTAGTTGTTATTATGTTATTGCCAGATCCTTGCATGAAAGTGCTTACTTCATTCACGTGGTTAAATATATCTGCTAGGTAGGGTAGCCGAAGCAATGCGTCTCTATATCCAGAAGCTTACGCTAAATCACTATTTTGGTTAATAAGAAAATGTATAATGTGTGCGCTATTTAAGTGGTAAAATTTTTAGAAACTCTTCTTTTATGGTTCTTTTAAGGCCATCTTGACACGTATTGTCAATGGTGCTACATGTATTAATAGGTCGATTCGTCCATTTGTAAGGGGGAAAATGCACATTTGTTCACATCTTTTATCAATCGGGTTTCTAAGTGGCCTGCGATTTTTCAGTTCTCCTTGTAACAGTTCTAGCTGACAACTTATATGGCCGAAACAATTTCTTATTTATTTTTAAAATCTGCAAAACAGTACGACTGTAGATTCCACTATTGCTTCCTTTATTGTCCATCCGTATATGGCTTTTTTTTCTTAGCAAGTACCTGCGAATCTGTATATGGCTTTTTTTCTTAGTAATTACAATGAATTTAATGAATTAAAAATATTTAGGCGTGATACCGCGAGAGTCCGGCTGCCCCTGATTTTGGCCGCCCGCGTAGTTTTACATGCTGCATTCCCGCTAGGAACGGCCCTTTGTATATCAAGAGCGGCGAAAATTTCAGAAACCTTAATAGAATCTTAATTAATTAATCGATGCGTGCTGCCTTTGATGTTTCCAACGGTTTTATAAAAGTAGATTGTTGCTTCGAAATCGATGACTTTAATGATCAGATTTTATTTCTTCGAAGTTGAGAAAATACAGGATAGAACCAAACCTTGGATGCACCGTTTTAAAGTGTCTCTCAAGGTAACTTTTATTGCGTAATAAGCATATATGTATTTGTCTTAATGATTTATAAAGAAAACTGGTGCTCTCATTCTTCATTAAAATTATAAGTGCGTGCTCACTTGGCTTTGTTTATTATAACAGTTATCAATTTGTAAGCAAATCTCTACATGAAAACATTCTGAATGATTAGAAAGTATGTAAATAAATCTAACAAGAAAGCAACGATAGAGAACATATGCACTACGTACCTTGTAATTATTGATTTCACTGCCTTTTTTAAAGTCGGAAATTCGGAGATCTGGAGTAGCCAGTATTCTACAAGGGCTTCACAAATAGCCATACTAGGAGGAATTTGTGGGAAATGAAATTTCTCCATATATTTCGTGGACATTTTTTCTAGTACAAGCCCACAGCAGATGGAAAAATGGAGCAGAACTTAAAAATACGTCTAGTCTACAGCTCGAAAAGGCCCTCATACACGTGCACGAGACAGATTACAATGTTACAATGTAGATCAATCTTTTAGAGGATCGCTTCTAACATTCCCTGATTGCTATTTCCTCTCTGTACAAATAGGAGCAACAAATAAATCCTAATTTCCGTGGACTACTTAAGCGGCCGGAAGCATATGTTATTTTTGGTTACGAAATATTGATTGTTGCAGTTCTAACGGAAAAAAATTACATGAGTCCCAATTAAAAGACTATGCAAGATTATCGGTATATGGAAAGCTACTTCTTTATATCCGAAGTCCGGATGGAATGGCGGCCAGAATAAATGCAGTAAGTACTATATCTCACTATACATATCCAGACAGTCTGGGATAAAAAACTGTCCTTATTCCGCTAGCATGTAAGAATTTCAGTTTAATACTGGATTGTCTTCGTCGTTAATGATTTTTAGGTATGATCTTCGTTTAACATATGACTTGCTTTCTCAACGATCACCGGACGTAACTTTTTCGTTTCATCAGTACTTGAGTGACGATAAATGCATTTAGTACACGTTCATCTCTTTCGTAGGTGAAGTATCAAACGGCGAGTAAAAAACGAGGTACAGTGCGAAGCTAAAGAAAGTGCAAGGAAATAAAATGGATTGCTGAACTTCGAGTTTCTGTGAAGGATCTTGACCAGGCCGCAGACTTTCTGAGAGGAATTCTTTCGTGTCATTAAGAAACTGAGAAATGTACTAGTGCATATACCAAGGATCCTTCCACTCAAGCCAATGTAGGGCACTACAAAGATATAAATCTTATTATGGTAATGAAGGTTTGTTTTCCCTGGTCTTGGGGATTGCAGTACCCAAGAAATGCAGTGCTGAAGAAGATAGAAATGTAGTAAATATATGCAAATATTTGTTTGTTTCTGATTACACGATTGATTCTCATATAAGATTGCTCGACGGCAGAAGAGAAGATGCCAAAGAAAGAGGTAAACCAGAGCCGCAATTTATAACATGAATATTTTATAGTGCAATGTAATGCTTTTTTTCATTTGTTTATTTAATAGATTTTACGTCATAATGTTATTGAGAAGTTTATTTGTCATAATGTTTTCGACCAGTTATTGTGTTTGAAAATACTTATTTCGTGTAAGATGATGGGGATTTCATAGTTCTTAATTGACTGAATTGTAAAGTTAGCTCAGTTATAACCTGAGATATGGCAGAAACCCTCCTGATAGGTCTTAGCGACATTCGTGAGCACCAAGTGAATTGACCAACTTGGTGAATGCGTGACCAACTTGGTGACATTTTGAAAGCTTCTGGAAAACCCCTATTTGAAACCTAGGAGCAATGTTTCTCAAAGGTTCGAGATGTGCTCTGGCAATGTTGAAATGGCTGCTTTGAATCCATCAATTATATTAGCGATTGATTCAAGAGTAACGCTACTCTATTAAGCTTCAGTCTGTGAGGGATTTTATCCACATGTGACATATTTCTTGTGTTAAGAAGAATTTGTCATACCTCTATTTTTCTCCTTGAGTTATTTATAACTGTTTACTAACTGCAAAGCTGTAATTTATTTAAATAAAGTTTTAATTTCTTCCTGTTCATCCAACATAGTCTAGTCTTTATAATGCAAACTATATTAAAATTTACATTTTTAGAATATTAATAGTTTCTTTTGTCTTATAAATTTAAGCTCCCGCTATGACGTAAAGAAGGTTTAAAACAGTAAAGATCAGATTTAATGAAAATCCTACGGTTATCAAATATTAGATGGGCGATTTCTTATTTGAGCTCAAATCATATTTCCTGTATGTTTCCGGTCGACGTACTGCACGCTATGTATCAAAAGATTAGACGGAAGTGAGAAAAAAATATGATATTAAGGAGGCGGAATAAATTGAAGAAAGAAAGCAAGTACAGGAAACTTTTAGAAGAAATTATTTAGCATCAAAAAACGGTATACTATTCGGAAAGAGTTAGTATATTGGCGGAACTTCGCAAAATTGCATCACTCTAAAGGTAATTTGCCTTATTTATCGATATGTATGAACACATATGTTTTATTCTATTGCTAAATGCTATTCATTAAATATTTCATTCTGACCGTGTAAGATGAAAGTAGTCAGAACTTTGAATACTTTGTTTTAAATGAATGCCACAGTAAACGTAACATATTTAAGCAGGAGTAAGTTATTACTTGTTCGGCGTGTTACTGTATCTTAACGAAAGAATGAAGTGTTTAGAGCATAAATAACTTATTAAAACAATTCCCTACAGAAAGGAGGCAAAGCGTTTTTAAAGAAGACTGTGTCTTGTATTACATGTACAGCAGATACGACTTAATATGATATTAATATATATTATAATAATAAAATAATATTATTTATTTGACTGCTCGAACATTTTTTTAAAAGTCGCAGTATTTTTCCTTCAGCTGTGGCGTAGCTAAGAATGTTCTTTTATTCTGAATTTTTGTTATGTAAAAAGTAGTCATTTACTTGTAGTGCACCACCAATTGATTAAATTAGTCCAAAAGGGCTATTAATCTCGAAATGTTATTCTGCGTAGTCCATTATAAATGTGTTGTGTCACTTTTCATTCGAGGCTGTAATCATTGAAAAAAAAGTGAAATATTATTTTTTCATATTTAATATGACTTTTATTGATAAACAAACTAAATTACTTAAATAGATGCATTTCTTAAAAATATTATTTTTTTACTTTTAAGTCTCATTAATTTGAATCAAAATGCATTTAAATCATGATAGATATAATTAAAAATGCTAAGTATTTATATAGAATTACATCACATATTTTTTCATATTTTAAATACACCGAAGTTCTATAAGTCCCCATGTTAGTTTAAATGTATACTAATTGAGTAACCTATAAAAAGTTTCTCTATTCCACCTGGGCTATCTTTAGCTATAATCTCTACTAATGTATCGTATTTAAAAGAGCTTTTGTAACTTTAAAAGAGCTTTTTGAGCGACCGTTAAAATCTCAGCCATTTCATATTTTAATTTTAATATTTTTAACATCTTTAGTAGATAACATTATTCAGTATTATTTTGTTCTTCTGTGTATGTGTGAAAGTAATAGTGAATGACTTATGAACTGTTTACACTCCTTTTAACCTAATGATGAATTCTTTGTCTTCACATTTCATTTACGGAACTGTTCGAATTACCAAAATATCGAAAATGAAACAACATTCTATATTCTTCAGCTGCCAAATTAAATTACAGCGAAATCAAGCAAAGAGTAGTGAAATGCAGAAATAGTAATATTTAGTAATATAATATAACTAGCTGGGATACCCGGCTTCGCTCAGGAAGTTGATATGAGATTGTGTGGTAGTTGGAATTAAAAGGATGAACTTTAAACTATAAGAGGTAAAATTTTTTTATTGAGAACATATTCTAACTATTTACAATACTTGCTTGTAAACTGCATTTTTAATTTTGTTATCCGGGGTATATATGTACCAAATTTTTCGAATTTCCTACTTGAGAACAAGCTACGGATAGCTGACCGTGAGAAAACCAGGGGTCTTTGAGGTTGATACCGCGATGTTTTAAAGTTTGTTCTTGCGCTTTGTTAATTGTAAAACTATAGGCTAATTTGATTGAAAATTGCGGTCTTTTAAATTGGAATGAAAGTTTAGTGGATATCAGTGGTATTCTGGAGATAAATACTGTGTGTCCTTTGGCCTTTCCAGACATGAGTTCGGCTTTGATGATGTTATTCGATAGCTGTTTGATGACCATCCTTGTTCCATTACACAGTTTTGGTGAGTTGAGATTTCTGAGTAGTATCATCAGAGATCCAATTTTCAGTCGAAGGCAGTGTAATTGCATTCCTGGTATTTGCAAAGAGTTTAAAAATTGTGTAGGGAAGTTAACACTTTTTTCAACGTTTACCATCGTGTCAATAGATTTGTATATTCTCTCTTCGCCCGGAATTTTCTTTTGCATATTAAAGTTGACATCTTCAATAATATTATTTTTAGTTACCAAAATTGCCCTTTCAAATAGCCACTTGGGATTGGTATAGTTGTGGACAATGTTTGGATAAATTTGGTCGATGAATTCGTTTTCGGTAGTGGCTATGTTGCAGAAATCATTGTTGAGTTCAATGAGGTAGGTCGTCTGGTCAGTAGAATATGTTCCTTCGCCTATTTATAAACATGTTTGAGCAAAATGCGCTGTTGTTCCGTTTTTCGATAGTTCATTTATCATATTTTTTGTTAGTCGCAGTATTTGCATGGGTAGCCAGAGACGTGATTTTTTTTCAAGCATGCATTGATTTCATCTCTTGCTGTTGACTTGGGGATAACTGAAAGTGTTTGTCGAAAATCTCCTGAGAGTATGAGTAGAGCTCCTTCTAGAACTTCAGAGTTTCCTCGCAAATCTTGTAACATTCTGCCCATGGCTTCGAGTGATTTTTATGTGCCATTGTGAATTCGTCTCAGAAGATAATTTTAGCTTGTTTTAGAAGTTCATTCCGTCTAAATGCTCTTGAGATTTTGCACACCGGAAATTGTCCTTCGGCTATATTTAACGGTAGTTCTAAGGCGGAATAGGCAGTTCGTCCTCCTTCCATAAAGTTGTGGCGTCAATGCCGGATGATGCCAGTGCAAGTGCAATGTGTTGTTTAGCACGTATTTCGCACGTCAACAACAACTTTATTAGAAACTTTTCCCCGGTACCGCCTGGTGCATCCAAGTAGTAATTCCGCCAGTGTTGTTGTTGATCTGGTCCATGATAACGTTATAAATCTAATTTTTTAATTCATGCAACAGATTCCTGATGTTTCTCTACTGAAATTTTCACGTTGAAAAATTGGCAGATGTTATCTATTTTTAAGATTACGACGCGTTTGTGATATTCTTTCGTCGGACCGTAGTGGAATGCTTCATTTGTTAGGTTGTACTGTTTAGTTGTCCTCGTCCCGCGCTTCTCATAGGGTGATATTTTCATTATTATAAGATTGTATCGCAGTTCTGGACTCTTGAATACGTTCATTTCGCTGTTCTTCGGTTTATCTCCTTCTCACACTGCTCATTCTCCTTCGTTGACAACGTAAAAATGTTTCGCGCTCTTCAACTGTTTCGTTTGTTCACTGTTCTTTTTGTTTTCGCCGTTTTGCTTCAGAACTAGCAAGATGTACGTCTCTTTTACGTTTGGGCATTTTATAAATTATAAATAAAATCAACTTTTTTTAAAAAATACAATAAGTACATTCTACACACTTTATTTTCGATTTATATTCAGTCACTGAATCACTTTGATTCCTCACACTTCATTGTTTGTTTTTATTTATTCACTGCACTTCACTGATAAGAAACAGACTTTCGAACTCACGTTGGCTCTTGCTTTATCCCTACCAATGGGTAGCCCCACCCGTGCAAAAAAGGCTTCGAATGCTCCACAATGTTCCAGAACATTCCACAACATTCAAGAGTGTACTAGAATGTTCCACAATGATCTAGGATGTTCCAGGTTGTTCTCGAACATTCCATATTATTTCCGAACATTCCAAAGCATTATGAAATGCCCTCGAATGTTCTGGACTATTCTAGAAATTCCTAGAAGGCGAAACTTCCAGCACTTATATCTCCAAAGCACGCCCTTCAGGTAAAAACGGGAAGCTTCTTCATGGATGGGGACGTAGAGGGCTACAACACCATATAACTCCCTTAATCGCTGTTGTGTAATTTAAAGAAAAAGGCTAGAGGGCGCTGTTGCTCGCTTAGTTGTAAGAGAATAAAGTTTGTTCATGTTGAAGGCGTCGGCCTAAGAATACGCTCTGTATATAGTAATTAAAATATTGTTAAAATGTAAAAGTGTTAAAATTAGTAAACCCACTGAACCACCATCATCTGATTTGAAAAATTCACAAAATTATTAGATGGTGCATTCGGCGTAAAGTATGGCTTTGTGAAGATTTTAGGTGTTCGATCTAAATGTTTCGATTTAGGATATTTCATATTCAAGGGACAATGGAATTCCAAATAAAGGTAGGGAAATCTTAAATTAATTATTTAGTGATTATTTGTAGTAAATTAGTAAGTATTTATTATTGCTGTTGTGGGTGTATTTAAATTAAATAAAATGGAAGATAAGTTAGATAGATTGAAACGTAAACGTTCCACATTGAGATCATCTGTTACTAGGTTAATTAAAGTGATTGAAGATAAATTAAAAATTGAAGGGGAGGAAAATTCGATTAAAGAATTACGGGAATTGTTTGAATTATTAACCGAAAAGAAAAATAATTTGAGAACGCTTGATGATGAAATACAAGAGTTAATTGATGTTAACTTAATTGAAGAAGATTATAGTATAAGCGAAGAACACAATGACAAATGTATAATTGCTTGTAGTCAAATTAAGCAGTTTCTAGGTGCGGTTACCGCAGTACCGCCAGCGAAGAATCCCCAAAGTTCTGATTTAAACCAGTCTAGTGGTAATGGAATTTTACATGTAAGTTCCAGTTCTAGTGGGAGTAGTACGCTGAAATTACCAAAATTAATGATTGATAAATTTTGGATGGAACAATGGAATGAATTTTGGAATAGTTTCTAAAATTCGATACATAAAAACGAAACGCTTTCAAAAATGCAAAATTTGTATACTTAAAAAAATTCTTAACGGGACAAGCTTCGAATGTTGTGTCAGGCTTTGAGTTAACAGAAAGTAATTATGATAGTTGTGTAGCATTACTAAAGGACAGATATGGTCGAAAAGACCTGATAATTAATTCATTCATGAATAAAATTCTCAATTTAGAAGCTGTTAAAAATTCTGCTAACGTAAAGGCTTTACGTAAATTATATGACGAATTAGAAGTTTCGATTCGTAATTTGGAAACTTTAGAAGTAACTTCTGGCTCATATGGACATTTATTAATTCCAATATTATTAAAATTAATTCCGGACGATTTAGTTTTGGAATTTAATCGGCAAAGAGGATCGAAAGATAAAGTTGAAGTTTCGGAATTAACACAATTTATTA